GGCCCGGGGCCGCCCCGAGCGCGCCCTTCCGCCCGCGGCCACTCGCGGCCGGCGCTGGCCGGGCCGGCGCGCCCCGCAGGCAGCCGGAGCGCGGCCTCGGCCTCGGCGGGAGCGAGCCCCGGGCCGCAGGCGTTGGGAGGCGGCGCAGGCGGCCGCGGGCACTGACGGCGTCGCGGGGCGCTCCCAGGCGGCGGCGCAGCGGCGGCGGCGCAGGGGGCGGAGGCAGGGGGCGCCCCCAGCCAGGATGCTGCGGTTCCTGCGCCGGACCTTTGGCCGCCGCTCCATGCAGCGCTACGCGCGGGGCGCGGCGGGGCGCGGGGCCGCGGGGCTGGGGGACGAGCGCGACGGGGGGCCGCGGGGGGGCCTGGCCGCTGCCGCCGCCTCCTCGACGCTGCCCGCCGCGCCGGGGGGCAGCGTGTTCCCGGCCGGCGGCGGGCCCCTGCTCACGGGCGGCGCGGCCGTGCACATCTCCGCCGCCGGCGCTGCCAAGGCCACCCTGTACTGCCGCGTCTTCCTGCTCGACGGGACCGAAGTGAGCGTGGACCTGCCGGTGAGTGACGGGCCGGGTCCGGGGCACTGGCACCCCTTCGGACAGCTCCCCTCCCCCAGTGTTCCTCTCTGGGTGCCCCTCTTGCACCTCTCCGGGGATCCCTTCCCCCTTCTCCTGCGAGCACTCGCTCTCCCTGCTTCCCTCTGGAGCCACTCCGTCCGGGTCTCTTCTGGAGCCCTTTCGGTGGCCCGTGTCCCCGTCTTGGGACATTGCGCTGCTGGGTCCCACCTCGTCCCTAGGGCCTCACTCCCTCCCCCGCTCACCCAGTCCCCTCTACCCGAGTCCCCGCCCCCTGGCGCGGGTGACCAGTGTTCCCCTTCCGTCCCCCAGGTTCCAGGGGGGCCTTCTTGGTGCTGGTTTATTGGTTAGAAAAATCCCAAAGCAATGCGAGACTGCCCCGCGGTGGCCTGCTTGCCCCCACAAAGTCGCCACCAGGCCTTGTCGAGACGGCAGGGAGGAGAAGCCCCCTCCCTTGCTGCCCAGCAGGTGCCCCAAGTTTGGGAGGGAATCTAGGGGACCATTTCTCTCCCGACCCCCTCGATGTCCCCCACCCCTGCCCCATCCCTAATCGCAAAGCCCTTAACAGCCCTCCGCTTCGCAGGGATTTAGGGGACTTGGGAAATAACTCTACAGTCGACTCTTGGATCCGGCCAACTTTGCACCGGCAGAGCCCTTTGCTGGGGCGCTGGGAGTCGGCTCTAGGACGTCCACTGGGCCTGGTGTGCGGGACTGCCCCCCACCAGCACCCCGGGCAAAGTGCGTGGGGCAGCCGAGGACCCCCCCCCTCGGCGGTGGCGCCGGGTGCGGGGCCACCCGCCCACAGGTGGTTGCACCCCGCCCCCCTCCAGCAGTGAGCTAGGCTGGCGCTGTTGTCCCCGCCAGGGTGTCCAGCTTTCTAGCCCGAAGGGGCCAGATGTGATCAAATCAAATCCGCACATTAATGGGCGCCTACTGGGCACCCGGCGCTGCGGCAGACGGTGCCTTTGGGAATCTTTGGGTGTGACTGAGGACACAGCGCCGGTGGAGCTTTTAGATGAATGTCACCGATCATTCCGAGGGGTTCACGCGGAAAAAAGAACATACCCAGACTTCCAAAGGAAACATGTAGGCCTTCCCGGGTGTGGGAAATTCTTTAGGCTTCCCGAGGAAAGTAGGAGGGAACTAGGAACCTGCATGGCTTTTAGATGGGAAAATCCGACACTGCTTGGCCTGGACTTTAATGCAGCCTTAGGTGTAATTTTGATACAGTTTCAATTTATGGCAATTTTATTTTTGTGCCTCCTAGTGCTCTCCATAGAATATCGTTTTGTTATGATAATACCCTTGTGGGGCCTTTTTATTCAGGGAAAAGGAGCCAATGTTCCTGTGCTTAGAGCTGTTGTCTTTAAAATAGCATTAAAATGTTACTCCTCCCCACGACTGAGGCTCTCCAGCTCCTCTTCAGCTGGGAGGGGAGGCCCCAGGAGCCGGGAGGATTGGAGAGCCCGGCAGCTGGTGTGTGGAGAGGATGTGGCGTATTTTGCATCTCGGATCGGGGAGAGAAATGCTTTCCCTGAGAACTTTGACAGAGCTCCTAGAGGATTTTCTTGTCTGTTCTCCAGGGATGATTCGTTTATAAAATGTATTGCTTCTGTCAGGTTTGTGCGACAGGCTTAAGTGGGGTTTCTCAGATGAAAAATGCAGACTGAGCCAAATGCATGCGTGGTGGGTCAACCCAGACCGGTACCCCAGCGAACAGGTTGGGATGGGGCCCTCACCGAGCATGGGGGAGGGGGGATATGTTACATCCGGAAAGGTTTCTCCGCCTTACGAAAGGTTGCTTGACAAAAGATTTCCTCGGGTTTTCTTAATGGTGGCAGATTTCTTGATGCTTTTAAGACGTGACAGAGCGAACCCCAAATTTTATTTATACAGACACACGCCTATGTATAGCCACCTGTCCAAAGACAAAATGCAGGCTTTTGTCATGTGAACCCTCAGAGAGGAACCATCAAGAAAAACCACCAGTGGGCACAGCTCATCGATTTAAAGATTTATTAGATATTAGAACTGCATCACACCATCTCCTGCGCTAGTCTTCCCAGATCAGAGTTTTAGCTGCTGTAATTAATTCCCCCAGTACGAGGTTAGCGCCAGGCTCCCAGTGAATTTGTGGATGGATCCGTAGCACGCGTGCTCCTTCCTAAGATGCATTTCCCCGGGCTCACGTTTTGTGCTGTCCTGTTGGGCATGTAGCCCCACTTGCCATGGTCCCCCTCTTCTGCTTTCCTGGTTTTCACCGCTTCCTAGGCCCTGGTGTTGCCCTGCTCCCTGTCACACAGATAGGATTCACTGTTGGCTGCCATACCCCTGTGGCCCCCGTCACTTCCACGGGCACCCCTTGTACTTGCCAGGCTGACTATGGCTCCTTTGTCATTAAGACCCTGTGGTGGTGTTAGCTTCGAGAATTCCTTAGCTCTGCACTGGAATAGGGGTGATGCATTGTCATCAGCCGTTTGATTCGTCCTGATCTGGACACAGGTTCTGCCGTTGACTTGACCCCGGAAGCGCCTTTGGTGTGACAGTGCCGGCCACGCACGGTGCTGTGTGCAAAGGCGAACGAGGGGTGGCCCAGGGGCTCCCGGGAAACACGGGTGGAAACACGACATTTTATTCTAAGTGGTGCTCTGTGATGTGACGAGGTGGGGACCGGCTCACCCAAACAGGGTGCTGGGGGATGGGCAGGTTACGGGGGCTTCCCAGAGACTTTGACACTTGCGGTGGTAGGATCTCCAATCTGCGTCCCTTGTGCATTTTTAGAATACTCCTTATGTCAGGTCCACTCCTGGGCTAATCCGTGGACTGTGGTTATATATATGTAATAAAGGAAGAAGCACCTGTGATCATCTTCCCCAGTCCCCCAACAGGGCTTCCAAACCCCCTTGTCTGCTGGCGGGCTGCGCCCCCTAGCATGCTTGCCTGTTTTTAACCTTCACTGTGGTTACTCAACCTTTGATAAAATGTGAACAAAAGGGTCTTTTAAAAAAATCCCTCTATACCGTGCAGCCTGAAACGGGCTTGCTGTGCAAACCTTGCTTCCAGGGGAGTCCCTGGCTCGCCCTGCAGCCCAGAGAGGCACCCTGAGCCATTCTTCGTCAGAAAACCTGGCCCTGCTTGGGAAGGTGCTGCCTCCCTCTCCTAGGAGCTGCCTGGCCCCGCTCAGCCCTCAGGTGTGGTCTGGTCCGAGCGGGGCAGGACTCCCTCGGCCTGCCCCAGACACTTGCCTTCTATTAATGCAGCTGAAGATCCCATTAGTGTGCTTGGCAGTGGCACCCGCTGTTGACTCATATTAGCTCTCTGTTGACTAAATCCCTGGCATCGCTTTTGCTGCTTTTGCTCGTGCGGCTGTTGCTCAGCCCCGTCTCCCCCCTCCCCTGCGTGCAGTCTTCCAGCAGCTCTGGGTGGCAAGCTGTGAGGATGTGTGTGCGACTGGCTGGTTAGCACTCCCGCCATGCCGTGGAGGGCACGGCTCTTGGGTCTGGAGTGGCGTGATTGGTGTGGTCGCTTTCACCGAATCTGGAACTCAGCACCCACCCGCTGTGGTTGGTGCAAGCAGGGAGAGCTTCAGAAGAGCCGAGCTGAAGTCTTGCCTTGGGCTGCTCAGGCCCTCTGAGCATCGATTTCCTGGTCTTTCAAATGGGGATGTCGGCAGGATTATGTGAACAGTGTACAAAGCTTAGCACACAGCAGGCCCCTGGTTGCTTTTGACCTCCCACACCTCCCACACCTCCTCTCCGGCCTGTGGAAAGGGTTGGGAAGCATGTCTAGTGATGGACCTAACAACCCCAAAAAGCTGCAGCAGGAAGGCTAAATATCTCTTTGTGGAAATTAGAAGTTGTATGGGATGTGAGAGATGCTTTTTTGAAAGTTTCACTCCATTTTTTCCCTAAGACTTTATTTATTTATGTGAGAGAAGGAAAGAGAGAGCACGGGGGTGGCGGGGGGAAGCGGGCAGAGGGAGATGCAGACTCTTGGCTGAGCAGGGAGTCAGGTGTGGGGCCAATCCCAGGACCTGACATCAAGACCTCAGCGGAAGGCAGAGGCTTAGCAGACCTGTTTCACTTTAGATGCAGAAAGGATATCCCCACCCCCACCCCCCACCTTAGATGCAAAATTATTACAGTTTTAGAGCTAGAATCTCTGATACAGCGGAGTCCGCGTGATAGAACGTAAAGATCATATGCCTTATTTCGGAGTTAAAAGGGACCCTAGGCAACACACAGCCCATCCTTTGTGCGTGTGGGAAACCGAGGCCTGTGCATGGAGACTGACTTCAACTTCCCTTTAGGCACTCAGTGAGAGTCGGGATGGGTTACTCTGCGAACCCCGAGTGCCCAGCCTTTGGAGGTGAGCGTAGGCTCAGTGGTAGAAAGACCGCCCCCCTAGTCCTGACCCAGGACTGTGGAAAGGGGGTGGGATATGTTCCTGGCTGTTGGGAGTAGGACCCATTTTCCCCAACAGTGGGAAACCCCAGCAAAATGGTACCCTAACTGCAGTGTACTCCAGAGTACAGCCGGGACTTTTTTTTTTTTTTTTTTCTTTTCTTTTTCTCTCCAGTTAAAATTCCCAGGGTTCACCCCCAGCATTTCTGACTGAGTGGTTCAGGAAGCTGGACTTCTCACAACTATCCCAGGCGATTCTGGTGGCCAGGGTCCCTTCACACCCTGTGAAAAGCACCGGTGGTAGAACGGGGAGCAGAGGGCAGCCGGGCCATGCGTTAAGCACTACTGTAGCGGGGTACCTGGGTGGCTCAGTCGTTAAGCGTCTACCTTCAGCTCAGGTCATGATCCCAGGGTCCTGGCATCGAGCCCCACATCGGGCTCCCTGCTCAGCAGGGAGCCTGCTTCTCCCTCTCCTGCTCCCCCTTCTTATGTTCCCTCTCTCACTGTGTCTCTGTCAAATAAATAAATAAAATCTTTAAAAAAAAAAAAAAAAGAACTACTGTAGGCATGCTAGCACCA